TGGACAAACAGACGAACGGCCGGACGGACAGATCTGCTTTAGAAATCTGGACAATGCTCATGCTGAACTTTCCGGGCTCCGGATCCTGGAGCCGGGTTGGCTGACGACGACAGCTCACCGATCACTGGCTGGTTAACGGGGAGAGACGTTCGCCTGTTCGTCTCCAATCACTGCTCTGCTGTGGGCCCCTCCCTCCCAGTGCATGGGGGCGGGGCGGATCAGGACCCTGGGGGGGTCCCTGCTCAGGGCTCTCTTTCCTTCCCCTGCAGACGTGACCGGCCCCATGCCCGACGCCTACAGCCCGCAGTACGTGGAGGCAGCCTGGTACCCGTGGTGGGAAAGCCAGGGCTTCTTCAAACCCGAGTACGGGGTGAGTGGGGGCCGGGCGGGGGCCGAGGCTGGAATCGAGTGGCCCCAGATAACAGGAATCGCCCCTGTGGGTGGGAGCAGTAGGCGGGATAAGGCACATGGTGAGGTGGTTCTGGGTGAGACAGCAGGGGCCGAGCTCTCCTGCACACCCAGGGCAGGGCCCCTCCAGCAGGGGACGCTGACACACCTACACCCAGGTGTGGGGTTATTTCGGGTGCTGCCGAACGGAACCAGCCTGGGCCTCCCGAGTCTCCGCACTGGGTGCTCCGACTGCCGCCCTCGTGTGCTCGCAGGGACTCGCCCTCCGGGGGCAGTGCGGGGGTTCTGAGACACAGTCTGACTCTCCCCCTTCTTCCCCCAGCGGCAGCGCGTCTCGGAGCCAAACCCCAAAGGGCTCTTCATGATGTGCATCCCGCCCCCCAACGTCACCGGCTCGCTGCACCTGGGCCACGCGCTCACCAACGCCATCCAGGATGCCCTGACCCGCTGGTGAGACGTCCCCCACGCCTGCCCTGCAGCTGCCGGCCCCCCAGCTCTGCCCATGCCCGCCCTGCAGCCCCCGGCCCCCCCAGCTCTGCCCCCATGCCCGTCCTGCAGCCCCCAGCCCCCCAGCTCTGCCCATGCCCCCCATGCCTG